CTGCTTGTCTTTCATATTTCTTATGATGTATTATTTGTCTTTTTTTTATGAAGAATATGAAAATTCACCGGTCTTCAATTGGACTCAAGATTAATAAAGATGATATATGTCTTCTGGATAGTGCTACAACACACACTATTTTAAAAGATAAGAGATATTTCTCTTATTTGGTAATGAAAGAAGCGAATGTTAATACAATATCCGGTAGTACAAGATTAATTGAAGGTTCTGGAAGAGCCAATTTATTACTACCAGGAGGAACAAATTTGGCTATTGATGAAGCACTATATTGTAGTAAATCTCAAAGAAACTTATTAAGTTTCAAAGATATTCGCCAAAATGGCTATCATATTGAGACTACAAATGATGAAAAGATTGAATATCTTTATATTACTACAATAATGTCCGGTAAGAAATATGTGCTTGAAATGTTACCTGCTCTTTCCTCCGGCTTATACTACACAAGTATTAGCAGGATTGAAACACATGTCGTAGTAAACGAGAAGTTTACTAATCAAGATAATTTTATTATTTGGCATAACCGGTTAGACCATCCTGATTCTAATATGATGCGTAAAATAATTAAGAATTCACATGGACATGCAATGAAGAATCAGAAGATTCTTCAATTTAAGGAATTCTCTTGTGCTGCATGTTCTCAAGGAAAATTAATTATTAGACCATCAACTATTAAAGTTAGGATGGAATCCCCTGCATTTCTGGAACGTATATAGGGTGATATATGTGGGCCCATTCAGCCTCCATGTGGAGCATTCAAATATTATATGGTTTTGGTAGATGCATCTATAAGATGGTCACATGTGTGCTTACTATCAACTCGCAATATGGCATTTGAAAGATTGTTGGCTCAAATAATAAAGCTAAGAGCACAATTTCCAGGTTATGCAATTAAGACAATTTGTCTTGATAATGCTGGTGAGTTTACATCCCAAACCTTTAATGATTATTGTATTTCAACTGGATAACAATTGAGCATCTGGTTGCTCATGTTTATACACAAAATAGTCTAGCAGATCATTGATCAAACGCCTCCAATTAATTGCTAGACCAATGTTTATGAGAACAAAACTTCCCATTTCAGTATGGGGTCATGCTATTTTGCACGCAGCAGCATTTGTGAGGATAAGGCCCACAAGTTATCATAAAGTCTCCCCATTGCAATTGGCTTTTGGTCAGGAGCCAAATATTTTCCATCTTAGATCTTTGGTTGTTCGATATATGTTCCAATTGCTCCACCACAACGCACAAAGATGGGTCCTCAAAGAAGGTTGGGGATATATATTGGATATGAATCTACTTCTATTATAAAATATCTAGAGCCGATGATTGGAGATTTATTTACGGCAAGATTTTCTAATTGTCATTTTGATGAATCAGTATATCCAACATTAGGGGGAGAAAATAAGCATCTGAAAAAGAAGAAAGATTGGAATGCATTATCACTGTCTCATTTAGATCCTCGAACAAATCAATGTGAACAAGAGGTTCAAAAGATTATTCATTTACAAAATATTGCAAATCAATTGCCAGATGCATTCATTAACCTACCAAGGGTGACTAAGTCACATATTCCAGCTGTTAATGCTCCAATTCGAGTTGATATCCCGACAGAACAATTAATTAAAGCAAATGAGTCTAAGCCATGCTTGAAACATGGTAGACCAATCGGTTCTAAAGATAAAAATCCTCGAAGAAGAAAAGGAGCAAGTGATCAAAGTGAACATAACACAGAGGTAGTGGCTCAAGAAGAGCCCCAAGACGTAACAAATGATAAGACCTTAGGGGAGGTCCAGGTACCTAAAAATAATGAAAATGAAGAGATATCAATAAGTTACGTCTCAACCGGGAAAAGATGGAACCGAAATAATATTGTTATCGATAACATTTTTGCTTATAATGTTGTTGTTGAAATAATGCAAAAAGATGAGGATCTTGAACCAAAATCTGTCAATGAATGTAATCAGAGAAATG